GGTGATGATGGTGGTGGTGGTGGTGGTGATGATGGTGGTGGTGGTGATGGTGGTGGTGGTGATGGTGGTGATGGTGATGGTGGTGGTGGTGGTGGTGGTGGTGGTGGTGATGGTGGTGGTGGTGGTGGTGGTGATGGTGATGGTGGTGGTGGTGATGGTGATGGTTGTTGTGGTGGTGGTGGCGGTGGCGGTGGTCCCATAGGTCTAATGTTCTACTTCAACCACATAACTTTCTGAATTTGTACACCCCATCTCGGATAGATTTGAGCAGATACAGCTTTGGAAGCGTCAACTTTCATAATCAATGTATATTCAACAACAACAGAGGAAGGAAATAAATTATCATTATTTTTTTTCTTCTCTTAACAAACGATCCAATGTGTTTTATTGTTTCTCTCATTATCACCTAACTGCTTCAAATGTCCGCCAAATGACCAGATAGTACAACTGAGTTGACTTATTTAGTCAAGCAGCTCTAAGTGGCACATACAAACACACACACAATTCCACACCTACCAATCGATCAGTGATCCGCATCAGTCATAAAGGACAAACGCAGACGCAATTAGGCAGACTGTGAAAGTTAGATCGCATTTGGTGAAAGATAGACTTGCTCACATTAACGTTTAGTAGATTGAATTTTGATGTGGAAATTGTTAAAAGTTCAGTAGCCTCGGTAGGATTCGAACCATAGCATGGATGCCGCCTATGCTTTTATCAGGTGAGCTATGATGTGGCCACACCGACAGAGCACTGATCTTTTTCCCATTCGAATCACCCATCCAAATTACAGAGGCATATGGCATCCACCAAGTAGCTGACTGCCCCGCTAGGTTTTCCTCAGACTTCATCGGTGTTCAGCTAATGAACTTCTAAGACCAGGTTCATTGTTCATTTTGATGTTTGCTAGGTTAAAGCGTAGGCCGCACCCATGTGTGGGTTCGAATCCCACTGAGGCTACTGAACTGTGGTGATTCGGATCTACGAGATCATGCCTGCCCTGGAACAGCGCGGTACAGTTTCCAGACATTGGTAGTCAATCGACCTTGAGCAATGACGCCAGTAGCACGTGCAC